AAAGAGAATACATTCAGTAGCTTAATAAAATAGACGTAAAATGATGTGCTGTGTAGTAAAACAGTTTCTTAAGTTTCGAGATCCGGTCTGAGTTCCCAGCAACAACGCCATCAGCATCAAATGCCAGGTCTTAAAATTCGATGGCCTTTTTTTACTGTTTGAATTTCGATCTCTATTACTAGAATTTTCTCAAATTAAAGTGGTTTCGTTTCCTGTACACACTAAATGGCGAGGGACAATTTTTGTACGTAGGCTGGATGTGTCTTTGAGCACATCTAAACCAAATGCAAATTTGCATCCAAGTCACATACAAAATATAGCATTTGTACCTAGCCTAGGTACACTTTGTACCTCTGTACAGACAAATTTGTATCTGATGAAGATGTGCTCAAAGACACATCTAACTAAGGTACAAAAATTGTCCCTCCCCTTTTAGAGTGTAGTTTTTGAACATTCTCTTTGTTACATCCACCGAGAAATAAACAAGGTTTTTACCACAGGGGTAAAATCAAATACAATTAAGGCTGTGTGTGAGTTTTTTGGGAGACAACCAGGAACGACAGAAATATTTATGAAATGCGAGTCAATAATTTATTTGCGTTTGTATGAAAATGTCGTCTGCGCCGAAGGCGATGAGGTGGGCTCTCTCCGGGGTTGTTTCTATTCAGTCAGCTTGGGTGGTGGAATGGGTGGCGATTCAGTCAGAGCTGGGGTAAGAGAAAGGAAAATACAAATCATATTATATATCACTGTTCGTCTCACTAACAATAGTTCATTATAATGATGAGCTTTTGCTTCGATACTGAATGTGTATCCTATTTTAACAAACAAAAGATTTCCAGGGAATAATACTTTCTTTGTTCTTACTTCACTTTGAAGTTTGAAGCGTACTTACACACACACACACACACAAAATCACACACACACACATACGCACACACACACACACGCACACGCGCACGCACACACACACACACAAACAGCACAAACAGTACTCGCGCGCGACAGTACTCTGACGCACCTTCGCGCACCTACTCACTTTAGTCTAGCGGTAGAGCAGATTGTAGTTGTAACCGTAGCCCAGCCCCTGCAGCCCGTAGCCGTAGTTGTAGTTATAGGCGTATGGCAGGTTGTAGCCGGAGTACAGCCCGGTGCGATACAGCGGGTTGATGTAGGAGCCGGTGCTGATGTAGGGGGAGATGAGCTGGGCGGAGGCCACGGCCAGGACGGCGAGCAGGAGCACGAACTTCAGCATGGTGGCGGAACAGGTCGTCTCTCTTGCTGCGGAAGGAGTCAACTGATGCCGGCCACCGGCAGGGGAGTTGCATTTATACGGGCAAGGGTGGTGACCATCCCACGAGAGCGACAGAAACGGAGGAAGAGAGGAGGAGAAGAGATGCAGCGGGGAGGCTGGGGCCTGCCTGCTTGAGGCTGATGCCCCCGCTTGCCCGGCTGCGATGCTGCGCTGGACCAGCCCTTCGCCCGATCCAGTCCGGACAGCCATTGCTCTGCCTTGCAAAGTCCTGGTCGTGGAACCTGTTTCCCTGCGGTGTTATGCGAAACAATAGGTTCGGCCGGGAAAACATCGAGGTGTGCGGGAGATTCGTAAGGATGCTGTATTGGCTTGTGCTGCGTCTGTGTATTCTGAACGGACAGGTGTGGCGCTTATGTTCTCTTTTAAATACATAGCGAATACTTTTCGGAATGTTTTATTAATTTAGAGGACCTAAACCAGCTGTAATCATTCAAGCCACTCCACTTGAAAACGAAGCAGACTGATTATTTTCTCATGCAGCTCGAAGTTACCAACTGAGGCTGACTTTGATGATTTTCTGACCTACGGAAAACGAAGTAAACTAAGGAACTTGATGTTGTTTGTGATCAACCCTATAACACATGCAGGTTTGCTCGATTCAAAATTTCGCTCGAATTCTATTCAAGTGTTTTCCAAAAATCTATGGATGGAAAATGTTTTGGACACCCTCGGGGCATGCTACCTTTGTTTTAGCGGTGATAACAACTATTAAGAAGGCGAAACGTTCACATGCGATTTTGCCATTTGCTTTGGCGAAACTGAACAACTATCTGAACCTCCTATTTTCCTCTGTAAATTTGTTTTGTTTCATTTGTTCTGTGCAGCGTTTAGGTGTGTCTGTGGCGGCGCATGAAGGCAAAGGGAGGCGGGCGAGGATAGAGGGGGAGGGGGAATTGCTCACGGCGCGCGGCCGGCGGCCGGCCGCCAGGGAAGCAGCGTGGCTCCACAACCTGTCGGCCTGCGGGCGAAGCCAAAAATAAAACAATCGCTGACTATCACTCTCGCTGGCTCCTCCTCCTCTCCCCTCAATCTCTCCCCCTCTCCCCCTTTTCCCTCTTCCCCTCCCCTCTCTCCCTCTCTCCCCCTCTCCCCCTTTTCCCTCTTCCCCTCCTCTCTCTGGCGTGCATCCTCTCGCCTGCACAGTCCTTCCAAGGCTGTGGCTGTGATGCGGAGCCCGTTCCCAATAAAACAGCGAATAAGCACCGCAGGCCGTGTGGTTCGCTGACCGGCCGGCGAGAGCATCGGGCGGCCGTGGCATTGGATGCACTGCACTCTCCGTCACACAAACCCGTGCGCACACGCAGACGCACACACACGCACGCACACACACACACACACTCGGCCATACTCCATTCTTGTTACCAAACCAACGCCGCGCATCGCGTGAGACAGAGACGAAGCGAGTAGACTCGCGCAGAAACAAAACCTGCTGGAGCCGCACACACCACACAAAGGGCCCCTCCCTCTCTCCCCCTCTCCTGTGGACGTTACCGTGTGACGTCAACTCTACCGACCAATCGATACTATTATTATGGGCAGCACACGGCGGCACAAAAGGGAAGTACTTTCTTTGGTTCGTTATATATGCTAAGTGCAGATATATCTCCGACGGTTAACTTCTGTCCGTTGTCAAATGAACCCTGAATTAGCCAGCGACAGAACATCCGAGCGACGTCAAACCATTCGAAGGGGTTTGAGAACTAGCCTGCTTATTAGATTGGCAATTCGGTGAGCAGGACTTCATTGAGGATGTGTAGTCACCGCAGCCGAAACCTCGGTTGCTGTAATTAAAATGGTGCTTAGTTTGCCCCCTGAGCCATAACCATAGAACGTTCTATCGTACTTGCTGAGTGTTTGGTTGGTTGGAGCGTGTAAACGCTCATAGCCAGCATGATAGAACGTTCTATGGTTATGACCGACAGGGTTTTCACTTGCCTGATACACTGTACGTATCGAGGAACATATTACACGCAGTGTAAGTAATGCCGAAAATAAGGAGAATATGATCCAAAGTTGTTTGAAAAGCCTGTGTAAGATTAAAACCACGTAATACGCGTCATATGTAATACACTGCATACGGGAATTCCGAGTGAAAACCCCTCGGTTATGACTCAGGGGGCTGACTGATCACCATTTTAGTTAGGGCAACCAAAGTATTTTTCTCCGTTTGAGCCTCAAAGTTCTCGCTTTGATTGGGCAAGGAAAATTTGCCTCACTCATATCGAGCATGAAACCTTACTTGTGTGTTCGCCGTGGCCTGTCCAAACACCACTTCACATAGATTTAAGAAAAGAAGAGGTCGGATAGCTCCTTCTCATGCGAGGACAGTGTGTGTCGCGTAGGGACGCCGCCCGCTCAGCGCGCCGTGGAACTCACCGCGTCAGACAATAGGAACAATTAGACGGGTCGCAAATAGGATGGGCCTAAAGAGGAGGGGGGAGGGTCAGCGCACTGTTTGCACAGGAGGCGCATTCAACTAGCGGGATTAAATTCGATCGGGGGAGGGCGGATGAGAGCAACGTAGAGGGAGCCTGGGCTAAAAGCGGCTGAATCCATGCCTTACGCTCATTGTGCACAATGTAACGACTTCTTTGTTACACACGTCCGCTTTGACTACTACTACTTTCAGTTGAGAGCTCAACCTTGTGCGAGAAATCCCTTCGCACTACCCAGAGAACGCGGTTCGGTCAAAATGACGTAGAGTGGTGGCCAGCCTTGATGTCATTATGACCATCATTTGATGTCGTTTGATACGAAAATGACAGTAGTCCTTACGTAGCGGTTGAGGCTCAGAAAGTAATTCCCTCAAAGTAACATCATTTAAATGTTAAAACTTTTCATTGAAAAAAATAAAAACGCCACACCTAACCTAAAGCTTAGCAGGTTACTGCTGGTAGGAGAGACAAGCGCAAGAAAATTACTAACTTAAATGTTTCTTTCTACACTTTTTGTAATACAATAACCGACAAGGACAGACCAGCCTTTACTCATATAGATTTTTTTTTGTTCGTAGTACTGGAGTTCCAGACCCCGTTCTATCCCAGTAACTTATTTATTTGTGATACTTGTAAGAAAGTAGGATTGAACCTGTAAAGGCTTCCATCGCCCTTCCCCCTTCCTTTTATCCCACACGAGCCACCGCCTATTCAGCGCGCTGTACGCCTCCAGACCGCCTCGCCTTACTGCCAACCGCGCACGGTGCCGTCGTCAGCCTGTCATCGGCGAGGTAGGCCACCCGCACAACATGCGCGCACATTGGTTGGCCTACCCGACGGCGGCTGCCCCATCCCGCGACGGTACAAGTTGTTATAGTTTCTTTGAAGGGCCCAACTGGAAGACTTCCGAAAAGGCTGGGGACTGCTCAATAACACGATACATTTGTAGACCAACACGGTGGGCAATAGTGATAGGTTTACAGGTAAATTTTGCATTATGCGTGTCGTGAAAATAGAATTTAAAATCGTAAATTTACAACCATGTCGTATCGAATTTGAATTGGTCGACAAGCAGGAATGGACTGCTGTGGCAAATTTTCACAGTCGACATCAATATTAGAAAGTGAATTTCTTTTGTTCTTGTAGCGGGATATAGTCAAAGAGAACACACCGTTTGGTTTGAATTGTTTGGGGATTTGCCGGTTGTCCGTTATTAAATAGGTATTTTCGATAAATAGGACAGAATCATGTATTCATTAGAAAAACTGTTTAATGTTCTTTTTCACTTCAATGTGCCGAAAGTGGTGATGCGTTGCGATCCATTGGCCGTTCTGCAGACGGTTCTTGTCTCACGAAGGGAAATCCGGGCTATGTAGGCAAACCTGTGCAGAGAAAAATAATTAATTATAGCTACTTTTCACTTTTTGGCACTTCTTAATCTTAATCATAAAATCAGATAGATAAACGAAAAAAGTATTTACAATGTTATAGCTTACATTTGGATTTAACGGTAGAGGTAGGAAGAGCCGTAGCCGAGGCCGGAGTAGGCGTAGGGGTAGGCGCCGTAGGTGCTGACTCCGGAGTAGGCAGGGTAGGCAGAGTAGGCGCTGACACCAGAGTAGGCGGGGTAGGCGCCGGCGCTGTAGGTGCTGTAGGGTGAGGCGATGTACTGGGCCGAGGCCACAGCCAGGACGGCGAAGACGAGGAGCAGGGACTTGAACATGGTGGCTGTTGGTGCTCGGTCTGGAGGACTGATGCTGGTTGCCGGCCGGCGGGAGCTTTTATACCGGTACCCCTTCAGGAGCCGGGCCCGGCGCTCTGCTAGTGGGGGTGGGCGTTGTGGGTGTGGCCCGCGGATCCTTTGTGATTCGGCGTGGTGCCGGTCTCCTCTGGCGGCTCCCGATAGACCACGCCCTGCTACGCCTCCAGGACACGCCGGTATAAAAGCTCCCGCCGGCCGGCAACCAGCATCAGTCCTCCAGACCGAGCACCAGCAGCCACCATGTTCAAGTCCCTGCTCCTCGTCTTCGCCGTCCTGGCTGTGGCCTCGGCCCAGTACATCGCCTCCCCTTACAGCACCTACAGTGCCGGCGCCTACCCCGCCTACTCTGGTGTCAGCGCCTACTCTGCCTACCCTGCTTACTCCGGAGTCAGCTCCTACGGTGCCTACCCCTACGCCTACTCTGGCCTCGGCTACGGTTCTTCTTACCTCTACCGTTAATTTATCAGTAAGTGTGACTAACGTGTATTCAATATTCCGGGAAAATGGAGAAATGAGAAAGTTGTTTTTAAATATAACGTTATTTTCTATTCTAGTGTCCCGGCAGAGGATGTCCGTCTGACCCAAGGCTACTCCACCTGGACACGGTCGCTGGGCAACAAAGACTTTCGGCACCATTTATGTCGCAAAATTTTAAATAAATAGTTTGCAATGTTAAAAACTCCAGAAGGTAGTTATTTCTGTTCCTCATAAACTTAATGAAGCGTTCTTCAAACGGTCGTGGCATTAGCGGTATCTTGTATTCGGACAAGTCTCACTCTCGGCAGCGCAGCACCGGCGCCAGATGGGTGGTGTGCAACCTCGGCGTACGACTGGCTGTGAAGCGTCTGCCAAGGAGGAGGAGGCCGTCCTGGCAGCAGAAGGAATGAGTGGAGTGTGCGGGGCGGGAGTGTGCGGGGAGCGGAGGAAGAGGAGAAAGAGGTGTGGCCCTCAGGATAGAGACGAACAGCGAGGGGGATTGAAATTGATGCAGGCTGAGGCGGCTGTGCTGCCAGGCTTGGTGGGGCTGCGGGCTGGGGCAGGTGGGGCGTCTGCTACCCCAACCGTGGCGGCAGTAACTCAGCCCTACCCCCACGTACGGGGGTTGTTGGGGGCAGCGGGCAACAGGCGCTTCGGAGCAGGCCAAATTAGATATGCTGGAAACGGGTGGGGGATTATTTTATTGGAACGTCCCATGCGAGCTCTGTAAAACAATTTCGTGTCGTTCCGGGCTTGGTTCTCTTGGTTCTAGGGCTTCGGTGGACACGAAGTGGAAGAGAGAGGGGGGCTTATGCATCTGGCTCGGAAGCATAGCACAGTCGAGATACCGGGTACGCAACAAGAGCGGCACAGGCAGGGCAAACAAATGATGCCCGCCGATGAATAACTCAACCCATCATTCGGCAGCAGTATTTTTTTTTCTAAAAGGAGGCAACCAATAAAACTGGCTGCTTTTCCTGGTTTTATTGTATCAGTATATTCAAAAGATACCGACAAGTAAAAAATCTTGCCTTTATAAAATTTTCTTTATAAAACTTGAGGGGGCTCACTTTCTGTAATCACGCTCTCCACATTTACCCGCCCACCTCCGTGGCCTTGCCACACTCGACGGTCGCGACCCCCGCATCGTCTTCCTACAGCCCTTACCAATTACTGGGAGGGGAAGCCCCGCTCTGGCAAATCTTCCCCTCGTTTTGCCGCTCCCTCAACACGGAGGTTAAGCCCCTTTAATTACCGTATCATGTTTGCGGCAGCGAAGTTTCCGAAAGGAGCATCGCGGAGCAGCAGAGAGGTGGGTGGTCACGGCACGGTTTCTGCCCACAAGTGGTGGAGACGTACTTAGTGGTGCACGCACTCTGTTCATACAAATGTGTACATAGTATACTTAAAATAGAGTGTACATGGCATGAGGCATTAATAAATGACATATGCCCTGCCCATGTATACTTTAGTTAGTTCATCAATATGTATACGAGCGCCAGTATGTGCATTTTTTTGCACAGTGTACGGTACATGGGTACATATTTATTTGTAAAAATGTGTACACTGTACAACAAATTTGTCGTATCATGTTATGTTAAAAGGCGACCACAGAGTGCACGAATTAGTGTGAAATTCACTGTTTTTCTGGAGTTGTGACTAATAAATTTCAAATGCAGTTTCGTCATTTTTTTTCGTGGAGAAACGACCAGCTGAATTTTACCCGCGCCTTTGACGTGCCCTCTGCCGCCCGCACGGCTCCGGTCAGAAGTCATTATTGGCAAACTTTCTTAGGAACGTCTCCTTTTTCGAGATCCATATTATTCGTAATGGGCCGCGGGGCCGCGCGGCGAGCAGTCTCTATCAATCTAGGCGACGGGTATATAACTTTTGACTTCTCAAGTAGTGGAGGCCAGCAGTGGTGCGGTCCAATTAGAATGGGTACAGTGACGCTCTCTCTATCCGTCTCCATCTGTCGCTCATCTCTCTCCCTCACTCTCTCGCCCTGTCTCTCTCCTTTGCCCCCCCCCCCTGTCCTTTGGTGTATCCTTGTTGCCAGGCAAACCAGACGGAGTCAATTCGACAGATTTTGCAAATCCTCTGCAAAGCAACCGAAATATAAATCGGCTCGGGTTGTGATCCGTCTAGAGGGAGAGGTGGACCACATGGTGGGAAAAGGGGGGGAGGGGGAGGGGGGCGTTGACAAGCTCTCCGGGCTACCTCTCGCGATTCCGCCGCGGCGCCGCAGTTCGACCTTCAAGTGATGAAAAGTTTAATTTTAATACCTGCGGAAGGCGGTGGGGTCGCCTCAGTGCCGCTCTCCGGCATCGCATCGCCGCCTCGGGACTTGGGCAGAATTTCACAGTCAAGTGTTTTGAGTTGCGTCAATAGAATGGAGCCCGTGGCGTGGCAGGTGTGGGCCGTGGCGAGGTGGGCGAGGCGGGCGGTGACTTAGGAGGGAAGATCGAGGAGGAAGCAATACCTGAGGAGCCTCTTAATCGCCGTGTTTAGTCCAGCCACAAGAAATACTGCTAAAATACTGCTGGGCAGGGGGAGGGAGGAGTCGGCTGGATGAGAGAGCGGGCGCTACCGAGAAGGGGCGCATGTACTATGTAACTTAAGATTTCACCCTTTTTTTCTTCTTTTTTTGCCTTCCTCCGATCACTTATTAGGGTGTAGGGGCTATCTCCAATTCAAACTTCGAGCAAGGCAACTACTAAAACTGATATAAGAATTCAAAACCAAAGTGCTCTGTGATTAAAAGTTGAAATTTAAAACAAAATCTTACCGGATAGTTTAAGACACGGCAGTTCACTTGCAATTATTACTGCATCAGTTTCAAATATTGCGGGGGAGGGCGAATGTAACTCTGTAAGACTTGGTGACCCTTTTACCCGGTCGGAAACAGGAGGGGGGCTTCTGCATAAAACGGCGCCGGAATGACTCAGTTGTTGTTTTTCCCAGGAGGGTGTCTACTGCTTCTTGCGCGAGATGGAGCTCTTGAACGAAACAGGCGCACATCACGCACGTCGACTGGACTTTGCATTTTATTTTTCTACCTGTATGTAAAGTGCAATGCACGCATTGAGTGAGGTGAGGACGCACTCTTCTACACGCCCTTGACTTGCCAGCTCGACTGCTGTTCAACTGGCAGCTGTGAAACAGACGTACACGGAGAGGAAAGTTCAGGTCAAACACCCAACAGTCTTGACAAATTAAGACCAAAAGTACTATCTGGAATTTTTCGGGCGTTTGTCACCAAATGCGGTCTGGTGCTTCGTCTAATGTCTGGTGCAGACGGGTAAAGAGTCTACAGGTTACAGTCTGATACCTTACCTTTTCTTACTCTGTGTTAATGGAACAATTTCACTAATGACGTACCATTGGTTGGGCAAAATACTTCCTGTTCGGTATGAAAAACCACCCTGACGGCACCCACTCCCTCTCATGTCTGTTTGTGATATTATCTTAGCGACGACTGCAGCGACGCAACAGCTATACAACAAGAGCTCGTTCTTTGAAGCTTCTGTAATTTTATAAGGTACAAAGAATACCGTGCCAGTGTCACCGTGTCAACGTAAACCAATTGAAAAAAAGGGGACCACTTTAGTTTTTATTTTGATTGTCCGATTGCTCTCAGGCATAGCTGCAGCGCCCCCGCTCCGCCCGGAGACAGCGCTACGCTGCGCCGTGAGGCGAGGGTAATGCCGCCATTGGCATACTGAAGAGAATCTGGACACGTCAGCTGTACTATTGCCCAGATCGGGTTGTGAGGGGTGGCTAGGGGTGCCAGGGCGGGAAGGGCGCAGTATTTTAATTGCAAATACCATCCAGTAGGATTTGAAGCGCCGCGCCGAGCCCAGCCAGCTGGCCGACCAGCGCTTGGGCGCTGCGGAGAGTATCCAGCATCCCGTGGGGGAGAAGGGCGAAAAAGCTTTCGAGAAAGGGTCGTTCGCGGTCCACTTTGTTTATCAAAATAAGGGAATGAGTCATTGCTTAACCCACGTCCTGCACCACCTCGACATTATTCAAGTTTTCATTGGTGATGTAGTGCAGAAAAGAGACTGCGTTTTTTGTTGATGTTGACATTCTTATATCTACGATGAAAGTGGAGGGTGTTAAAAATGTAAGGACCGTCGTTATTCAATACGCCTTTGCTTTCCTAAAGCAAACATTCATTTCCAAATTCACAGAAATGAATGGTGCCGCTGGACAACAGCTCGTGGTGTTCATTCATATTCGGATTCCGGATTTGCTGTTGTAATCCGCGTGGGATGATATGACCCTTGCTACCTCTCTGGCCGCGACGGCCCGTGCCGAGCGATCAGTTTTGCATATATAGAGAGCCCTCACCCTTCCTCCCCTTGGTGCATTCACCTCCTCCCACCACACACACCGCACCCCTTCCTATTCCGTGTCCTTATCACTCACTGTGTTCCTCTTTCCTGCACTACTCACTCTCACATATTCCTTAAACGAGGCTTCCGTTTCATGTTACGAATTTTCCTCTGCAATGATAGGGTAACAACAATACGCATACTTTTAGTTGAAACCCACACATATTCAGATGAACAAGAACTGCCGTAATTCCTATGTGGGGTAGAAATCGTTTGCCCTTTGTAGGAGCCGGCAAACATTATTTAAGGGGAAAAGTTTTGGAAAAGGGCCACGAAAAAAACAAAAAAACTCCTGTTTCCGGCGCAAGAAAAGTAATTTTCATGTGGTGTGGTGTGTGGTGTGTGGGGCTCACGCGCTGCGCCCGCCCACGCCCATTATACCCCCATTCAGAGCGAGGCCTTGGCGCGCGTCGCCGCGATGTCGCCCGGGCGATACAGAGCGGCCCTCGGGCGTCCTTCCAGCAGCTTCCAGCAGCTTCCAGCACGCCCGCACGACACTGTCAGGCTCACTTCATCTAACGTACCAACGGTATGCACGCACAGTAAAAAAAAGAATAAGCTAAAATAATTACCTACACTATCAGATTCCTTATCGAGGTTTTCGTTTCTTGCAATAGATAATTTTATTGTGCAACGGCGAGGTTCCAACGAAATTGTTATGGGGTGCTCACAGATTTGTTTGTTGTTATCAAAAAAAGGTTTTGTTGATAATAAAAGGAAAAATAATAAAAACAATTTCTTTGCGGTTAAAAGTCACTAAGGGATTGGGGATGTGATCAATTCACTAATATGGCCTTAGATCAGAGTATTAGCTTACCTATCTAAAAATTAGCCAGAACGGTTATCTAGAAAAAAAAAGGAACTAGCTGTGGAACACTGGTAAAATAAAACAAGTGAGCATAATTTAAACACCAACGTGTTTAAGTTATGATTTTAAACATTACATGGTGTTTAGCTCAAGTTGTTCACTTGCGCGTGGTGTGCAAATTTTAAACGTTTTGTGAACGTTTACATGCTGCACACTTGTACGCACCCAAATCTATAGGAACCATATGGTGGGCAGCTGCTATACTTTTCGGAAGTGTTAAAAGTTCAAACACCAATTGATGTTTAACCTAGTTAAACACCACGAACACCACAATGTGTTGAAAAAATGTACACTTGAACAAACTAGTTTGTTCATACGATACACATGATTGCTGTGCTGCTGTGCATGCTTTTCTGGCGCCAGAAAAAAAAATTGTGTGTGTGAGCGTGCATGTGTGTGGAGGTCAGTGTGCCTCAGACCGAGACAGCCAGACGAGACGCCGCCGTGACGACAGCGTTACCCGCCTAACTCGTGCATAGGCCCCCCTGTGTCTGATGCGCACACGCGGCGTCGTGCCGGCCGGCTGCGTGCGCGCGACGCGCTGTGGGTCATGCACGCCGCGCCGTGACCTTGGCCGCGGCCGCGTCCCAACCTCACCTGCTGCTGCATACGTTGGCCCCCTTCCCACGCCCCCCCCC